GCATGCTATGTAAAATGTTGGCGAACAAAAACCTTACAAATTTGTCGGAATGAACCTTATAATTCTATGAACAAAATCACACAAATATGAAATAGTCAATACGAAATTTGTAATTCAGATTCTATCCGATAGATGGCGTTACGGTTTGGCACGTCGCCATGTCTCTCATATACGTGCCATTCCCTTGCGGTTTTGTTACCGGTTGAACCGATAAGGACAAACAAGTGCTGCTAATTACTAAGAGAACTGTCAGTTGGCTTCCAATGAAAAGTCATTAGCACGAATAGTTTTCATCAAGACCATGAGAGCGACTTTTCATCATCCATTAGCATTCAGTCTGTTGATGTTGCTTGTTGTTTGAATCGTACTTTTATCTACAAAGTTTATTTGCTTTACATCAAGTTATTATTATTAAAACAATTATAAAATTTTCATCTATTTTCATATATCGATTCAATCATTTGGAGCGAAAAATTGTAATTGTGCCAAAAATAAGTCTAATAGTTTTCAAGCGGCTTTGACAATAGAATCGATATCTACATAACGGTAAGTTAAATTTATTTATTTTCTTATTTATCCCATTAATATTGAAAAAGATAGACACGCATAGAAAAAGATCGGTAAATATTTCGTGACTGCGGTAAATCACATGAGAAAGAGCTGATTTTCAATAGAAAATGTCTCAAACATTTCTCTTGTATTTTAGCACAGTGAACTTAAAATTTACCACATGACGCTATATTCAAAAATACAATACTTGTATAATCTCTCTGAAAAATACTAAGCATAGTGACAGTTGGTTGGCAACATTGTTCGGATATTGTGATATAATTGTATGTGCAGTTGGCAAAACTCTCATTTTTCAACATTCTATTTAATCGTCAATCTGCTTAATTATTTTCAGAGAGATTATACATGTTCGCTCTGGATCGCTCTGGAAAAGTCACAATATCGTATAATGTTTTAGTCCAGGAAAAAACAGTCAAAAAATTAGAAGTAGAACAAGATTTTAAAAAATCGTAGATTAAAATTTGAAATTGACAGAACGTAGAACTAAAAACTTACTCTTAAATTACAAGTTAGGAAGTGTATTCGTGAATATATCTATTTGAAGTTTATAGCGTCATGTGATTTAACGAAGTCACTAAATATTTACCGATTTTTTCTCTCTGTGCGGTAGCTTAAAAAGAAATATTTTTTTTTTTGTGCTTCTCGTATTTTAATTTCATTGAAACTAGACAAATCAATAAATAAAAACACAAAATTTTCCTTATTTCAGGATCTTTATTTATTAATTGACCTACATTGGCCTTAAAAAATTTGACTTTGAATCTTAAATTTACTTTTGAAAAATGTCAACGTCTAAAGTAGCAACGACCGATATCGCAAGTCACATACTTTCTCAAATCGGAAAAAAATTCTACCTCAGCAAGGAGTTTGCTGATGTTTACTTTGTTTACATGGTAAATGATGAAGAAGTTGATCGCGATCCGGCCCATAAAAATCTGTTGGCTGCAAGCAGTGACGTCTTCCATACAATGTTCAACGAATCTTGGAAAGAGAAAAATGAAGTGAAGATCGTCGATGCAGCTGTTGCAGATTTCAAAGAATTTTTGCGTTTCTTCTATTTTGGCACGGTGAATTTGACCATAGAAAATGTAGATAAAATCATGAATCTCAGCAATAAATACAATGTCACCGAGTGCAAGAATTTGTGCAGAGAATTCTTGAAGACAATACTGACCAGTGAAAATGTATTGTGGGCATACGATTTGGCTGTTTTTCTTGAGGATGAAAACCTCAAGAAATTTTGCGAAGCAATAATTAGTATCAATGCTCGAGATTTGTTGAAAACCCAAGGATTTTTTCAATGCAATCAAAACAGGTTGATGGAACTGATGGAAATAAAAAGTTTGAAATGCTCTGAAGCTGAACTACTTGGGGCGTGCATTTCATGGGTGAAGAATAAAAGCAAAGAAGAGAACTTAACTACAGAAATAATACAGTCTCTAATTGGTGATTTATTTTCAAAAATTCGTTTCGGATCGATGACTCTGAACGAATTTGTCACTCTCATTCCATCATACGGAGAACTATTTCCAAAAGAAGTATTGCAAGATATTATACAGATGAAAGCCGATAAGGAATTCCAATCGAAGATATTTAGTGGAATACGGGAGAAACGTAGTGACGTTGAAATCTATGTAGGAAATAAGATTTATTGCAACCGAGAGAATTCAGGTTTTAATTCAGGTGAGTATTTGATTAAAGACATAGAAACAACCACATTCTCCGTCAGTGAAACGGTTTTCCTAAAGAACTTCGAATGTGACAATTTATTGAAGTGGAATGGGGATTATTGCGATCTAGAGGAACTGGTACCAACTGAAATAACAATCGTTGAAATGCAAAATTTGGAGCATTTACCCAACAATGAAGAAGCAGTTTTGTACAAAGGAAATACGAATTTAAGAGGAGAACAATTTGCACAGGTGTCTTTGCCCAATCCAATTCTGATCAAAGTGGGTTTCATATATAAAATTCAGCTGAAACAAACTCCGCCTGCAGATTGCATCCTCGGAACTTCATTGAAATCAAGGGTTCAAATAGATTCCGATTTCATCGTACAATTTCATCATGACACGTTCTTGGAACAAGATCCATATTCCGCTAGAGGTCTAATTGTTTCATTAGATTTTTATCGTATTTAGTAATAAAAACAACCTGCACTCTTGGTGCCAGTATTGCTTTAGAGCAGTAATGTGTGAAGGGGAGGGGGAGAGGTGGGGTTTACCCTTCCTTGTGATTTCCAAATTATTCGAATTTGCTAGGGATTTCCGAAAAAAGAAATTTCTGAGAAATTTTGCTCGCACCTTACTGCTATAGAGATTTAAAAAAAAAAATAGAAATAGTAAGTGATATAATAGTCTGATGTTTAAACCAATTGATGTTAAATAAAAATAAAGCACTTTTACTATTTTCAGCAATTAACCGATCTCATTATTTTCCAGAGAATATATTACATTGAATTTGTAGTTTTAGAAAATGCGTCATTTGATAAAATCCTAAAAAAGTTAAGACTTTGTGCTTTTGAATCGGGCCGAGGGTGTTTTTTTCATTTTTATTTTATTATTTTTAAATTTTTGCATTTGGTGAATAACTCCTAGGAGCTCATTTCATTTTACATATCGTTCCACTTAAAACATTTTCTTTAGATAAAATAATAAATAAATAAATAAATTGTCAATCAAAACAAAACAAAAATTTCAACTCTTTGTTTCATATACACATACTGTCTGCTACTTTAACCATAAATCTTTGGTCGAAAGTTGGCATTTTCTCAAGACTGAGCTCAAATCCGAAAAAATAAGTTTCAAGTTAGTAGCTGATGCCTTGAGTTATACGTGTCACAAACAAACAAGTGGAAAACGGGTTTAAAGCTTGATGATACATTAAGCAATATGGAATTTTCTATGGAGTTTGTTCGATTCCAAAAGTATATGAGTTGAATTCAAATCCTTATAAAATTTATTTCTTGAAACGTACCTCTGCTTTATCCAGAAAGTCACAAATCAACCAATATAATCTATATTAAAATCGTTCCAAACAATGATTGAAAATGTGGATGCCACTGAAAGAACTATGTCTCAACATGTTTCTATTTAACGGTTTTCATTGATTTAGCGTATTATTCGCGAATACTGCGCGGGAAACCACCTCAATTTATGATTGTTTAAACAAAAGCGATTGCTCAATAAATGCCATTAAATTGATGCACTCCTTTTTTAGTCCAAAAAAAACGTCGTAAACATTAGATAAACAATCGACCTATTGCACTTCGAAAGGAATCGTTCAATCGGAAAATTTCTAAATGGCTCGGTTGGTTTCCATCACAGCAAACGCACAGCATTCTCCATTGTATCCAAAGAGCTTATGGCCTTTCCTCACCAAATATTTCCTGTTCGATGCATCCTGCTTTCTGCCGCCTGTTTTTCTCGGCTATCGAATACAATATGCGGATAATTCCAAGGCTATCCACTTTGACCCCGCAGAGAAAGGCGGTTGATATTGTGTTTTTTCTCCTTCTATTTCATTTGACACCGTTAAAATGTGAATTTTCTATGAAATTGACTTTTTTGTCTTGTGACGGTTGTTTGCGGCTTGTCATTTTATGAATGTATGACTTTTGTTGTGCGAGCAACAGGCGATCGGGATTCCATTGAATGAAGAAAGAAAAATAACCGAAAAGATCAAATGGAAAACAATGATGCTCAAAAAATGGATTAACACCGAGCGCATAATTCCAATTGCAGCTGTAAGTCGTATTCGGTTGATCTTGGTTGTTCTGTGCAACAAAAGTTCCGCCGTCATTTTTCGTCCAGGAATTCAATTTACCTTTTTCTATAGAAATGTTTTTCATATCGCCGCGCACGTTATAAAAATGAGCACACCGCATGTGTCGCTCTAAAAAAGCGACTAATTTATTGTAAAATGACATTGGTTTAATCTTAATTATGGCAAAAACCTCGGAAAATATTGTTTTACACTGCGTTTTTGTTTTTAAGGGTGTACACGGACCAAACTATGATGATTTTCCGATCATATAAGCTACCCTTGAAATGTGCGCACCAAATCAATCGTATTTTAACGGATAAATTCAAAGCCGTTAGTCTGTCGTCATCATGACTCACTTAACAGTCACTTTTCTAGACCATCAAACAACAACAGCACAAACACAACACAAACTCAATGAATGATATTCGTAATGAAATAAATGTGGAATTACATAAATTTGGCATCACACAGAAGAAAGAGAAAAAAATTATGCGCGGCTGGAAGTTGAATAATTGTTGTGCGCACCACGATGCAATGGCAAACATGGCATTAGCAACAGAACAACGTAAAATGGGACATGCAGAAATACACAGCATGCGCGTGACAATAATGGTGACACAATCTACACAGATTTTGATGGAATTATATGAAAAATTATCGAACCGACTTGCTTCAATTGAGACATTTACTTTGCGTCGCACATACTTGCAAATTGATTTCAAAATTGAGTTTTTTTTTTTCACAATTAAATTGTCATTTGTATTTGCGCCACAATTTGAACTTTGGTTAATACGTACTCTCTTGCGAATTGACGAATTCGCGCTTAATCTTATTGCGTTGATAATAATTAAAATCCATTCCATAAATGAAACATATTTCAAATGAAGCAAGGGTAATTTGTGCGGAAAAAGTGTTTGACATATTTTCTGAGCGCAGAGAATTTTCAACAGCCGACAAATGGTAGTCGACAAAATACATTCCAATTCGAATGAAATGAGCATGTATTAGAAAGAGATGTGAGCAAACAAACAAAAAAAAGTATCCAATGGAGATGAGCTCACAGCATGGCATACAAACTACAAAGCCGATGCAATAATAATAACCGATGTCGACCGACTGACGACACAATGAGTCAATGAAATTCTGAATGAGAGCGCACAAAAAAACCACCCAATTCATAGCGAGAGGAATATAAAAAAAAGCGTATGGCACAAAAACTCATATCAATATTTTTGCGCTCATATGTTTAAAAAAAATCTTTCTCTCTACGCCTTTTCTTTGTGCTCAATAAAAATGGAAATCAACGGTGAAATTATTATTGCATTGCTACTGGTTACAGACTTCAAAGCTTTTGTATTTGCCGTTTCGAACACTGTAATTATGGACATTTTTTTCTCTCTCTCGATATGCAAACACTAAGCGCAAACGAAAAAATGTCTCAGTTGTCATAGGACTTTGTTAAAATTAAATATTTTACACCTATCGTAATCACAATTATGTGAGCGATGCTGCCTGATATTGAAATCTTTCAAAGGAAGTTGTTGCGCCTTTTTTATAAATTTTAAAATTTATAAAACGAACGAAAATCCTTTCAGAAAAAGCGTGCTGTTTTCTACTTGAACATTTACCCAAGCTCAACACAATACCACTTCAGCCACTTTATTGAATGTTGGAATTCATATCAATTCGAGTTGAAAGTAAAACATTAATTCAAAAAATGTCGAGCATCATCGAAATTACTGCCCGTTGATTTCAAAAAGTCGGCAAAAGAATACAGAGAAAACTTAGCCAAACGTGAAAACAAAAATCACTTTTCGTTATGAGCACATCAAAACTCACTTATCGTCCAGACATTCATCATCCAGCAGATGTTTGGCATCATCAAAAATGGATAGGGAAGGCGCGTAATCTCAATCACAATCTGAATTTTATAAACTAAATGCAACAGAAACATTTCCGAATTATTGATGATAATGATAACACTAATGAAGCATTTATTTACATCCCCTGTTTGGAAATCGTTATTACGCTGATTTATGACTGAAGCGGAATAATATTTTTTCACTCAAAATATACTATAGTACAACAAGGAAAGCAAATCAATTCAGCTAATTATTTATTCGATTAAGATTCATAATCAGTTTTTATTAGAATTGAGTTTAATTTCGCTTCTATAAAAATGACTACTAAAGGAAGCAAAAATCTTTTTTGCGAATCACATAATTTAAAAAAATCGCATTTTTTGCATCAATGAGAAACTAGGTGCTGTAATTAAGAATGTTTATTTACCAATGTTAAGTACGAGTATAATTAACAAAATTGAGTTAAAAAAATATCCAGCTGTGGTGCCAAAAATATAACCAAACCAAATGGTGGCATTTAGCACACTTTTCCGTCATTTGTTGATTTTTTTTTCCTTCACTGGGTAACGGTGACTTTTAAAGTTTGCCATCATCAATTCGAATAATGACAAGTTAAAAAAATACCTCTCCAAAAACTACACATTCCATTAATTTATCTCAATGTAATTGTGTTAAATGGACGCTTTGCTTGACTAGTGTGCAATGACCTCAGACGATCACCAATTTACAGAATCAAATGAAAATCCATTACAATGAACAAGATACGATAAATTACATTGTAAATCACCGAATGTTAATCACATTCACAACATCAAAACGAACTGAAATCGCCATTTCACTCTGTCAGTGGCGGGGAAAGTTCAAATTAAAATAAAGATAATTTCGATTTTAATGAGATCGACTATTTTTCATTCAAACGGTTTATGTAAATGATTTTTACCGAATGTTGTTATCAAGAAGTTGTTCATTCATGTTATTCACACCAATTGCAAGCGAATGGAATTATTGAGTGATATGGGTGAGTTTTCGAAAATCGTCATGCAAACAAGATTCATGTTGCGTTCATAGAAATGAGCACACATTGAATAAACTCAATATATCGAATGGCAAATAAAACAGTTACATAACTCTGACATATTTGTCATATTGACACTTTCGAAGTGCCACAATGAAATGAAAATAAATAAATAAATGTGTGGGGTAAATGTAGAAAGTTGAATGGGCACAAAGAACTACCAAGTCAATATTTCAATAAAGTCAGATCAAAAGGATTGAAGTCACTTCAAAGTAATGCAACTCTTTAAAGAGGTATGAAATAAAAACAAAAACTCAAAGAGATCCATATGTTTAGCCAGGCTTATGATTTACAAGTAAATCCTTGGCACATTCCATTCAAAATGTTCGAATTGTTGTTATTGTTGTTGTTGTCTGAAAAAAATTTAAAGCTAATTTTCATGAAGCACTGGAAATTTGAAATTAGTTCCATCTGCTCGAATTTTTGTCTTCTTTTCACAGTGACGAACAGAGAGAAAGATAGAAAAATGTGATTCATTGTGTTCGCCTGTGTT